TGCAGTGAACACATTTTCAATTGACAAGTACCAAAAATCGCTACTTTTCTCCTTTTTACGAACTATAGTTAATATGAAAATAAATTTTTAAAAAAGCAATTATAGATTCTGATAGAGCGTGAAATCCCCCATCATCCTATATATTTTTGTCCTGTCTTGCATTTGTCGAAGCTATCATTTCAAGTGCAAACTTTCAATCATCAGAAGGGTGTCCTGCTGCGAAAACCAATGCCTTGTTACGGAAAACAGTGGAAAACATTTTGAGTTCACTACTACCGGGTATGTGTGCCGATTTCATATTGGATAAAACGGACAAATGGAAAATATTTTCGCCACGTTTGACGGGTCGTACGCTACCATCCGGTTCATTCCCTACACCCGACGCGGCATTAGAATATCTTTATGGTATATTATTAAAAAAATGATTTAAAATATGTTCCGTGTGAAACTACTTTACGAACGAACTCTCACACTGTCCACACCCCCGCCGCCCAACTTTCCAGCTCTTGCTACGAGCGAAGATCTCCAAAAAGACTTGTTTTTTCAGCGAAAAACCTCTCAAAATCTCTAAAAATAATTTTTCTTTTTATAAATATAATTTTTTAGATATAGTGCAATGAGCTCTCTTCGATGAGTGCATTGAATAAAATAAATAAATTTCTGTTAGTGACAACTAGTGCGCATACGAATAATGACTCGCAGCGTATTTCTTCTTTTTCTCGCTATCATTTCAAGTGCAAACTTTCAATCATCAGAAGGGTGTCCTGCTGCGAAAACCAATGCCTTGTTACGGAAAACAGTGGAAAACATTTTGGGTTCAGTACTACCGGGTATGTGTGCCGATTTCATATTGGATAAAACGGACAAATAGGAAATATTTTCGCCACGTTTAACGGGTCGTGTGCTACCATCCGGTTCATTCCCTACACCCGACGCGGCATTAGAATATCTTTATGGTATTTTGTGCGATTTACCTGGTTTTTATCCTCGTTCATATATAGCTGTAGCAGCCAGCTTGAATTCGTTATTATTTGACACTGGAAATTATTTGGCTTCTGCTGACATTACATTACGTTTGAATCCGAATAGAAACTTAACATTTTTCACGTATCTTGCATTTGACAAACACCATCGGATCTGTGGCTATGATGCCCAAATTAGAAATCCTGGTATAACACTAGACTATCCACCCGAGACACATCCAGCTACGATCCAATCTTTGTGTCAAGGAATTCAGCAGACATGCACGGACAACAATGAACAGTATGAAAGTTTTGAGGATTATGTTGATTTTATGACAAACAAAATACCGTATGGCTCATCCGATCAGCTTGATCAAGACAGTGTTAGTTGTCGAACATTGCACATACAACTTGCGGCTCTAGCTCCAGATGTGCACTGTCCGCATTGTGGTCCGACGGGGGGAGAAGCATGTACAAACAAAACATCACAATCATATTACGAAGTTGATTATCTGTCATGCGCTTATAAACGGAAGACACATTATTCATAATCGAAAGATAGTTTGAACATCAATGTAACAAGGATTAGTCAGGTTCTGGTGTTTGTTTCATTAATGAATAAAGGGCATCTTGATTAAGGTTTGCGTGAAAAATCTGTCGAAAAAATTTTTGTCCAGATCTTGAAAAGATCTAGAAAGTTCTTTCTACCACCGTTTCGTTTTGGATTCTTCATGCATATAAGATGGACATATGGCACAATTCAAGTGAAATTTTGTTTCGAACTTTTTACATACCATGCGATAGAGAATTGAACGCTGATTACGACAAACACTTTCCCGGCTCCCAAACTCCTTTCCTCGCTGAGCCAGCCAGTGTCCAAAACCCGAAGAAAAAGAGGGCTTTTGAAAAATGGCTCTGGTTTTTTCGTGTTCCACTTTTGTGATTCAAGAGTGGGCTCATTGGATTCAGAATCGAAAGCTGACTCTAGAAAAGTAAGTGTCGAACTTCTAAAATCAAAACTGGATTTTCCCGGAGCCCCGAAACCCGAACCTCGAAATGGCATTGCAAATTCACACGTTAGCTCAATGTTTTATCGCTACGAATGAATACGGTCGAGAAAAAGAATTTGATATATGTTACTTGGTCTTCATCGAAGGGGTATAGAGGCTTTTAAAAATTTTTTCCGAAAGCCTTGAAAAGCTATATTCTGAGAAAGTGTTATTTTTCGATTAAAAGTCAAATCAAAAACTACTTTTAGTAACACCCGGAAATAGAACAAACATTACTGATCAAAATGAGATATTTCCGAGCTCTGAATGATGTTCTGATCAAGAGTTGTGCTGGAAGGTTCAAAATATGCATTAGATACTGGCGCCGCCATATTCCGAAAGCGATTTTCATCTTATCACCATTTCGTAGCTCCAAAGTTTTTACGAAACGTTGTAAAGAACTGGTGTCAAAAACTTTAAAGAAATATATGCACATAGAAGGGAACGATATTTTTCTGAGTGAATTATTCCCTTGACTTTAGTCTCGGGTCTTACAAAATGGTTACCTGAGTCTGTGCCACATACAGACACAGGCAAACATTTTGCGCACAGACAGACATACAGTATGTCGGTCTGTGCGCCAAATACGGAAAAATGGCTGCCACACATTCAAGAAAACGTTTCAGATTTATGTTAGATTATGAAGCTTAAACATCAAATCAGAGAAAAATTCATAACATAATTTCGATGTTATGAAGCGAACATCGACCGAAGGGAAGTGTGAGCACTGTCTTTGATTCTGACTCATGGAAGGTCGTTCGCAGAGATAAGTTGCTAAGGTCAAGGAACCGAGCTCGTGCAGACGAGCATTAGCTTGTTTTCAAAAAGATGAGAAAAATGATGAGGTCGTATAGTGTGAATAGATCTTGTAGTAGGCAGTTGATCTGTATTGGCATTGTGTCGATCGTATTGAAACTACCTGTAATGCATATTGGCATCTTGTGTAAACTTCGATCACAATTCACTTCGGACCTCATCTCCTTTAATTTTCTTCTCAACCATTATGTAGTGAACAAGTATTGAAATTGGGCAATCCTTCGTAGCTATAATTCGTACTATTTTCTTTCTTGCAAATTGTGTAAACAAAAGCGAGACGTCATCAGTATAAGAATTTTGTTTGACTTTTTTCGTTTTCTACGTGATCTCACAATCACCAGCGCGGCTATGTAACAAGTTTTTTGTTCCTTTACATGTTCTATGAAGTTAATTTTATTCATATAACTTACTTTTCAACCAAATTCAGACGCATACGAAATTGTGAAACAGTCTAAAGTAAAAGTATATCTGTAACATTGCATAAAAAAGCAAACTTGAATTTAAACTAGAAGTAATTTTCTGAATGATGTCGTAATGAACAATAGAGCCTTTGTGAGTCTAATTTTGAAAACAGATCTCTCTTCTTTTATTCAAGTAGAGGATGAACGTTTTCTTCTGCTGTATGTAGAGGCTTTGATTCTGATTATTAAATGTTTCGCGAGGATACGACCAGAAAGGATAGACTCTGTCAGATTTGTAGCACTCAGTGTCATGAATATTGAATTGAAAGTCAAAACAAATATAATTTGTTTCCCTCATGCCAGTTTATGGTTCGTGATTCAGCAGCATTAATATGTTAAGATGCACATATGGCACAATTCAAGTGAAATTTTGTTTCGAACTTTTTACATACCATTCGATAGAGAATTGAACGCTGATCACGACAAACACTTTCCCGGCTCCCAAAATCCTTTCCTCGCTGAGCCAGCCAGTGTCCAAAACCGAAGAAAAAGAGGGTTTTTGAAAAATGGCTCTAGTTTTTTCGTGTTCCCCTTTTGTGATTCAAGAGTGGGCTCATTGGATTCAGAATCGAAAGCTGACTCTAGAAAAGTAAGTGTCGAACTTCTAAAACGAAAACTGGATTTTCCCAGAGCCTCGAAACCCGAACCTCGAAAAAATGCCGACCGTTTTTGCAAATTCAAAAACAGTTTCCTGAGAGGTTGAAACTCGGATATTTTGGCATGGGTAGATTCGCCGCGAGCTCCTCTTCAAAAGTATACGTGCAGATTTCTTAATTTGTTTTTCCTCGCCGAGAAATTCGCTTTTTACTGAGAAGTATGCACAAACCGCCAGGTCCTTTTGCACTAGTTTCGCCAGTTTTGTTCTAAATTCAGTCAAGTTAGTGTCAGATCGACTAAAAACCATGGAGAATACGATTGAGACACTCGCGAGATCGTTGGAGAGGATTTCTGGAGAATTTTCGGCGGTTTTTCAGGGGCTTTCTAGAGACTCTTTGCCTTTTAGAGCTTGCTTATCGTTATCTATTGGTTTAGAACGTTGTAAGTCCTGCAGCTGGAGTGTTTTAACTCTTCTCGGTTGTGTGTTCAGTAATGTTTGTTCTATTTCCTGGTGTTACTAAAAGTAGTTTTTGATTTGGCTTTTAATCGAAAAATAACACTTTCTTAGAATATAGGTTTTCAAGGCTTTGGAAAAAATTTTTAAAAGCCTCTATACCCCTTCGATGAAGACCAAGTAACATATATCAAATTCTTTTTCTCGACCGTATTCATTCGTAGCGATAAAACATTGAGCTAACGTGTGAATTTGCAATGCCATTTAATTTTTAGGAGTCATATCAATGTGTTATCTATAACTATCACAAAGGTCCATCTTTATTATTGCTTTTATCTGCGAAACATTACCAAAATCTTTACAAAACGTTAGATTTCAAGTTGACGTGATATGACTCATGCTGAAACGACAACGAGAGCTTTATTGTACCTGACAAACAATACTTGGTCCAGTTAGATCAAATAATGCTGCTAAACATTCTCATACTTTGCAAGCTATAATTACTATCCATTTCAAAAAAGAATGGACTCGGTTGTTTTTTGACTAACTTAGGAACGTTACTGGCTAGCGAGTTCGGATCTTCGCTGTTGAAACGAGAACATCTGGGGCTTCTAGGCATGTAACAACCATTCGGATTGCCAAGATCTTTGACAGATCTCAAGAAGGTTTCTGGAAAACTACTCTCGTCCGAACTAGAAATTTTGATTCTTCTCGGAAGGTACAATCTGCCGTACTGTCGTCTACACAACCAGAACTAGAAGATCTTGATATAGTAACTTTAGATCGGTTTGAAACTGCGAATGAACAGCACCACTCGCCGATTACTTCTATCTTGATCCATCTTAGGGTGAGGTCGTTTTTGTTATAAAGACTAGTCGGGACATGTTAACTGACTGCGGTCCACCGTATAGTCGTATGAGTGACAGTTAAAATTTTGGACTAGTCATGAATCGTGACTAGTAAAATTTTAACTGTCACACAAAAAACGACCCCATCATAACTCATGATGGGGGCATTTTTCTCGTATGAAATAGTTGGGACGGTCGTCCGGACTAGGAGAAAAGACTAATCATTTCACCAGTCTTTTCCTTACCTGGGTACGTTCAATTGTACTTCGGCTATGGAAAAAGTTCAAGCATTTTTTTCTCACGATGGATAAAAACCAGAATGAACGAATGACGCAAAAACTATTAGTCGAATTTTTACATGTCCGTTTTCTTCGTTTCTCGTCGATTACTGTTAGTTCTGTATAAACATATTTCTACATTGTTCGTTTCTATTCCTGTAACTATCAAAAAACTTTTTGCCTCCTTGTTCTTTTACCCTCGTTTTCTTACGACAAGCAAGTAGAGATGCGATGGAATTCGATAATTTTTCGAGAAATGGCAGTTATCGAACACTCGAATTTTCATTCATTTTCTTTTGTTCTTTATAGACATTCATTTCAATTCTAAATTTGAAAAGTGGAATATGTTCAGTCCGTTCCACCCCCTGGAACTTTTAAATAATTTTAAATTAATGCACACTAACTTCTGACCCAGAAAAAGATGAAAAATTACTTCACATCAATTTAAGAGGCCAAATTAATTTAAATTCGTCTGTAGTAAATTAATTTACATCAATTTCGCAGTTAAAATGAACTAGAATTAATTTCTTCGCTAAAATTAGCTCCAATTAGTTTGAGAAAACATTAATTTAAATTAGTTTTAACTGAACTGGTTAGAATTAATTTATTTCGAATGAGTTCGAGATAATTTCGTGCTTTAAATTGCTTCAAATTAATTTCTACTCTCAAATTCATGTAGGCGCAATCCATGGAAACAAAACCAGTATATACAAACCGTTTGTCGCATTGATGGAGATCTATCTCATTCGAAAGAGCATCAAATTCTGAACAAGAAAATGTATTTTTCAACTTTCAACTACGAAGATCACTTTCAGGTTTTTGGCGTTTTTGCCCAACTTGTAACTCATTTTCTGAGACCTTTTTCCTACTTTTGGAGCTTCGGGTGGTGATATTCGGATGCAGCGCACTCGATTCTATACGAAGCCGTTGAAAACGCAACCCTACATCTCCCGTTCCTGAGTTATGCTCATTTTAAAATGAAGAGTAATGACTAAAAATCGGTCAGGTTATAATAGTACACCGCTGATTGACTTTATTCAGCAGAATA